TTTAAATCTTCTAAAATTATCTAACAATTTAATTTAGAATTTGCATTCTTCTCCACAGAAATCCTTCCAAATTCATCTAACAATTACTAGGGTTTTCATGTCAGAATAATTCTGGAAATCTGCTCAAAACTTTTCCTTCGAAAACTGTGTGGGAATCTTTCTCAATATTTGTTTGAAATCAACACTTTGAATTCTTTCAAAATTTACTAAAAATTCCAGGGTTTGTCCGCTAGATTCTATAGATTGTCATGTAATTTGTTATAACCCTTAAAATGCTTCCAAGTCTCAGAGCGTGACAATTAGGACTCCACGACTCATAAGTATGATATTTATTTAATTTTTCATATCTGTGATCTTGAAAATTTTTCAAAATCTCACATTTTAATTATTTTTACTCCAAGTCTTGCATGACGTTGCACTGTTATTAATCATAAGTTTTGAAAGAAAAGTTCTATTTTCAGACACTATTAAATTTTATAGCCCCAGGATCTTTGGAATCTTCTTAAAGCAGATTTTTTGTCCTTTCAGTAAATTCCTTTCAGTAAATTCCTTTCAGTAAATTCCTTTCAGAGCGTTCTGAAAAATGCATTCAATTTTATTTTTTTTGATTAATATTAACAACCGGGAATTTTTTAAGATTTAAACCGAAAAAACCAGGAATTTCAAAATGAAAATTCACTGGCCACCCTGAATATCTGAAAAATCGTTAGATTTTGGATTATTCATTTTTACATCGCGGACAGAAGAGTAAGCTAAATTGATCGAATAGTCTGCGAGATTCCTGTTTCGCACGGTAAAAAATGTGGTTTCGAAAAAAGAGCTATCAACAGCGGAAAAGTTGAAATATTGGGCAGAAATTTTTCGAAAAAAAAGTTGAAATTTTGCTTAATAACATACCGACAATCCGAAGTGATTGTACTTATTCCAATGTTCTAAAAAAATAACATAAAAACCCTGTTTTAGAGGTCTCAACAGGTGTCCCCGCTTAAAATTTCATAGGAATTCTACATATAAATCCTTTAATACTATATACGGAATTCCTTTGAAAATATTCTATATTCCATTTAAAAAAAATCTCCTCAGAAATCCTAGACCAGAACTGAAAACTTTCCTGAGAAATTATCCTGAGTATATTTATAAATTTCTTTGAATCCTCGTCAAGTTTCTGTTTGAATTAATCTTAAAATTCGCAAACTTTTCGTTTCACGATCTCCATAAAATTTCTTTTTTTTTTTGGAAATCAATGCTCTCTCTCTCTCTCCACAAAACTCTAGAATTTTTATTTTGTTTTTACATGCTCATTTGTGTTCAAAATGGCATCAATACAAGAAGCACTTCAAACACACGAAAACCATGGGGGAAAAGTTTACGGTGGATCATTTCAAATCAGAGAACGTACCAATTTCTACTGTTTATCGTATTCTGGCATCCTTGACAACAGTTCGGAAGAGGGGTAGTGGAAAACCAGCCTAAATATTGAACGAAAAGGGATTTCGATCGCTCCACAATACGTTCAACAACAAAGATTCGATAAGTCAGCGGGACGCCGCTAAACAATTCAAGCGCACGCACCCCTACCCCATGTTGAAAAGGATAGGAATAATTTGTCGAAAGAAATCAAGAGCTCTAGAATACACCGATCAACAAATTTCGAACGTGAAAGCCCAAGAAATTACTCAGGAAAATGTCTCGTTTTGGATGATGAAAGTTACTTTCCTCTCTCAAAATTTATCCCTGGAAATGATCGATATAGCCACCAAGAGCATTTTTATTGTAAAATTTTTTGATCTTTCCGAAAAAAAAAATATTGTCGGAACTGGAGAACCGCGAAATACATTTAAAAATGTCCAAAAGTACCAACATTTTAAAAATGTCTACTTTCAAACTGCTACACCTCGAAAACGGTGCGACTTAAAAAAAAATTATTTGAGTGCTTTCTTATTGTAAATTTGGTGTACTTTCATTAATAATTGTAATCAAAAGTAATTGGACCAAATTTTGGATATTTTTCCAAAAACTTGGGGTTTTTTTTTTAAATCAAAACTGTTTGTCCATTATTTCTCCATCTTGACCTATTGTGCAATAGATGGCATTTTTTGTCCCCTAAACATATCAACAAATAAAAACAAAATAAAAATCTGTTTTTGAAAAAAATGTCTAAGATTTTATAAGTAGAAATTTAAAAAAAAACGTTGGGTAATTTTTTTAGAGTGCATGTTTTTTTTCAAATAGTCTCATCTATTACCGGCAATATTGCCCAAGACACCAAACCGATCGGACAAACAGTTTTCGAGTAAAAATTTTCTGAAGATAAGCTTGATATTTTTCTATATGCCCTTTTCAAAAATAAGGCTGGATTCAAAATGGCGATATGAAGATGAAAAATTGCATTGTCGGTCATAAGGAACGTTTCGGCAAATTTGCAACCAAATAAAAAAAATACAAAAATCTGGCTGATATTTTTTTTTGTAATAGTCTTAAAATGCAGGCAAACGTACGTATTACATAAAATTAACCATTTAATATTAAAGCAGTTCCACGCAAAGTGACGAATCGATCTGACGTGACCTTTTCCGATTTGCATGACACTTTGCATAATTGTGTGTTATAGTCAATTATTCACATTTGAGTTAAAATTCGGCCATTTAGAATTTCGCTAGAAAAAAAGAATAACGGCACAAATAGGGGAAACGGCTCTAATGTTGGTCTAGGGTTCTAAAATTGGGCCCATCGCTGAAAATCTGCAATTTATTAATTTTACCTAGATGAACGCGTCATTGGGACAGTACTCATGGATATTTTTGGTCGCTATTGAAAATTTTAGTCGATTGCTGAATTTATGTATCTGTCCAAATTAGGGGCATTTAGGCCGACATTACATCCACTTCCCCTATATAAAATAAAATGCATTTGTAAATGAAACAATATTTAAAATCTAAATACAGTAGGGCATCGTTTGCTGGCTGTTGCCGCGAGTATTGTCGGTTTCTCACTTCTCAGATACCCAGTTCAAGCTTCAGTTGGCTGCGGTGGCTCTTCTTCTCCTTCTGTCCCTGAATAGATAATGCGAATAAGGGGGTCTATGTGATGTTTTGTTGTACCAGTGTGGACATTAGTATATCTTTTTCCTTAAACTTGTTGAGGGCACCTCGTCTTGCCTTAAAAAATATCCTTTTTAAAATAGTGATCTTCACAACATAAAGGGCATCATTACGGAGCATTATATTTGATCAAATTATTCGCAGTTATATTTGTCCAACGCTCCCAGCTGGGTGAGGCTTAGAGGATGACACACACACACCCACTACAACCCAAATAACATTGCATGTTTATCATGGCTTTTAAACATTCCTCAAGACTAGGACTAAAATAAATCCAAAATTGTTATTTAGGTGTTGTGGAATAAGAATAAGCTAGCAACAGTCCAAAGGGCGAAAACCAGCCCAGGCCTGGGTAAGCAACTATTAACTGTTCCAGAAAGTATAAGCACACTTTCAAAATAACAAAAAAGTCGTGTTTTTTTAAGTTTTAATAATTTTATTTGGCAAAACATATTTGTATTTGTATTTCACATGATATTTTACTCTCTTTTAATAAACATATTTAATCATAGCCAAGACTCCTAACTTTTCCTCGAACATGACCCATTAGCTTCTGCACAGTGGTACTTCCCACCATTTTGACCACTTTTGGCGAAATTTTTTTGAATTTTTGGATGTCGTTCGCTGGTTTTATTAATTTTCGAAGCTTTGCTTTGGTTAAAGCGCAAAAAGTCTCGATTGGCCGTGCCTCCGGGCAGTTCGGCGGATTCATGTATTTCGGCACGAAACATACATTTTGACTTTTGTACCATTCTAAAGTGTCCTTTGCGTAATGACATGACGCCAAATCAGGCCAAAATACTACTTGACCTTCGTGCTGCCTGATCATCGGCAACAATCGCTTCTGGAGACATTCCTTAACGTATTTCTGAGTGTTCATCGTCTCCGTTGTGATGTACGGACTAGATGTTTTACCACACTCGCATATTGCCTGCCAAACCATAACCTTCTTACCGAATTTTTCGGTAAAAATTGCCTTCTCCGTTTCGGGGATGTCCTTGCCTTCGCTTACAGTATAGAATTGTGGTCCGGGAAGCGTTTTGCAATCTAGTTTCACGTAAGTTTCGTCGTCCATTATTATACACCCAGAATTTCGACACAATAACGAATCGTAGAGTTTGCGGGCCCGTGATTTCACAGGAAACACAAACACAAAACTGAGCACTTTTTTGATGCTATGCCATTCAGAAATGGGCAAACAAAAGGCCGCAGCCAAAACATGTTGATATATTTCATTATATTCAAAGTGACCGTTAAAATAAGGTGTGCTTATACTTTCAGTCTATAATTACATCACGTGAAGTGCACTTAATCCGTTAATAAGAATTCTAGCCAATATGTGGCAATAGACATTGCAGCTGTCAGTTGCCATATGCGAGAGCTAATCGGTAATGTTTTCCGTTATTCTCACGCTCAACTTAAATGTCTGCCTTTGATTGTCTTCGAATGTACACTTTATTAAAATCTACAGACTGCAATTTTATCCGCCGCTTGGAACCATCATCCGAATAAAGCTCTTTGTTGTCTCGGTAGAATTCGGCGCAAAGAGTGTTGTTCTCAGCGTTCAGGATTGGAGCTCCCGGACCCGCCCAGATCGTCTTTCTGACCGTCCATCCATCCGTTGCAAGCTCCAAATCCGTGAAAAGGCACAAAACGCTTCCAATTATTTCATTATGTCAATTCGTTTCATTTTTATGTGTTTTTTTTTCTGCTCCCGGCTTGCGCTCGGTAGTGCAAACCACATCCATCCAGTCAGTGCTAAATTTCCTGGAATAGAATTTCATTATCATTATTAACCGGGCTGGCCTGGCAGCCAATGGCAGTGTGGGATTTTCCTCGCTTTTTTTGCGTTTTCTAACCGTTTGACTCATTTCTTCTTCTTCTTCTCCTTCCAAACAGACTCAACGATTGCCCCTGGAGCGCGCTCCGAAGTGCAGGAATGTGCTCTCTCGATCGGACTGCTCATGTTTGGCATCATCCTGGAGCGGTTCATTCACGTGATACAGAGTGCGTCCACTTCCAGCAGCAACAGCAGCCCCAATGCCACCAATAGCAACAGTAGGGTCGGTGGCGGTGCTGATGACCATCGTCCCTCCAGCAGCAACAACAATGACACGAATGAGTCACTGCTCCAGGCGATCGCCAGCAAGCAGAGCGTGATCGCCGAGAACCTCAAGGAGCTCAGTTTGGTCTCCGGCACGAAATCAACACCTCAGTCCGGCAACAAGCCAACAAAGGATGGCAGGTACGGTTTCACACCTTCTGTACTGCAGAACAACAACTTGGGGGGAACGTGTAGCGAAACGACTCACCTTCACCCATGACAATGCACAATGGACAGCAGTTGATTCCACGTTCCCCCCTCTAGCTCGAAATTCTAACTCGCACATGCATGCAAAGGTGTGGGAAATTGAATGTCATTTGTAATAATTATTTCCCTCCCAAAATCTACCACCACAAATTACAGGATAAACGATGGGAACGCCCCTGGGACTGCTGCTGTGGGGTCATCCGGCAACAACAACAACAACAACAGCGGCTACGGCGAAGCTCGGCAGAAACTGGTGCTACAGGAGGACGCCAAAGCGATACTTCCCGCAATTAAGGTGAGTGGAATTGTAAAATATTTCGGGATTAGCAGCAGCAGCAACATCTTTTGCGGTGCAAGGTTATGGGCCTTTGGAAGGACTCTTCTGCCGTGCTCAAATCCTGTGAACGTAAGAACGAAGCGAAATTCGTTGTGGTTTTCTGCTAATTTATTTTCCATTTTTGATGTGACTTTGTATGGAGGAAGGCATTCGTCGGAGTGTTGACTCGTCCCATCCTCGGACTCTCGGACCCGGAGAATTGAGATGATGCGATAAAGGGAACCACATCGTCTTGCAGCAGAAGCGCAATCTCTGAGGTCTGAGGTGTTGAGAACGAAATACTGCTGTGCTAATTGGTTGTTTTATGGTTGAGGATGTTTATGACCTTGGCTGTAAAAGATGCGACGGATAATAACATTGAAATTCGATCCATCGTGGTTGGCTGTTTATTATTACGAGATGATCTTATCTCGTGCATAGGAGAAAATTAAAATATTACATGCAGGATGGGTGGTTTAACTTTTTTTACTCTCGAAGCGAACGAATTGATTTGTTTTCGTGTCCTAGCATAAGTCAGACCTTTTTAGAATTTAAATCTTCCTCAAAACATGTCATAGAACAGCGAAGTTGAATCTTCCGTTGATTGCGGCTTACTTAGAGAAGTGAAGAGATTTTTTTAAATTTTTGACCACTTCAACGTTTCAAAAAAAAAACACAATTTCTACACTTTACGGAAATCGTTTAGTTTCTTCTACCTCATTCGAGAACAACAACTACAACAACAAACAAAACCTTCCCACACCAAATCATATTTATCGAAGAAATCTTCAATCCACTTAATTAAAACTCATCTTCATCGTTTGTTGTTTCATCGTTACTTCATACCACACACATGCCCACACGGAGCAACCAGAAACAAAAATCCGCGCCAGAGATGACAAGAAGATAGCAGCAAGCTTACAGACAGCATATGAGCCCGGCCCGGCCGGCGCGGATGAATCTGCGGGCGGGTAATTAAATTAATCGTTTATTAGACCCATCTGCCTGCTGACTTTTGCGGCGTCTCTACACGGACCGGATTCGGTTCGGTTCGTATCCTTTCGGTGCCGAAGGTCACGCCAGTCAGTCGCCGCCGGCCAATTCCTTCCGAGTCCCGCCGAAAGTTCGCTTCGAGACATAATTGCTTTTAATTGGCATCACTCTCTTCCCGGGCGCGCCTTTAAGTACGCTTTTATCGCTGATTTGTTCGGCTTTTTCTTGGAAGAAGAGTTCAAGGTCTCCCGGTCCCATCCGTCCGACCAGCCATGCGTGCCCGGCGACGGACTAATCCGTCAAATGGTTGCCGAAAATGAAAAATGCAACATTCTTCCCGTTTTCTTTCTGGACGCTACACGGCCAATGAGATCATCCTAACATGGGGTTCAGTTTACTCATAACCGCATGAGGAAAATTGACGAAAATTTTACTCAGTTTAGGAGTTGCGGTACTTTAGAGGCGTTTACCCTACCAGTACCAATAAACTGAGGGAATCCAATTTTTACTTTTCTCATATTCGGAATTTTTTCCTGGAAAAACATAAGCCAAACTTACTCATCGCTGAGTTCCTGCACTTTTTGCGATTTATGAGTGAACTGAACTCAAATTTGGGTTGATCCGATTAGCCGTGCACGGGAAGAGTGATCGAACTGGTCATGAATTTTTCACCGCTCGCGCATTCACGATCAATGGTCCCATCCATTTCTTCGGCCTCGCCTGTTGTTGCGTCCTCATAATCGTCGCTTTTCTTGGTCATCGTTGTTTTTTCTACAACAAGGTGATTGTCCGTTTAATTTGCCGAAACTAGAGCCATTGTCCCCGCAGCCACATGGTTGTTCTATGAAAGGGAAACAGCAAAAGGGAAGCAAGAACCGTCCGATTTTGTTTTGCTTTGTCTCCTGCAAATTTAAATAGAGTATGGAAAACCCACTGCTTATAGATTTGAACTGATTGGTCAAATTGTTTCAAATGATGGTAGCATTGTTCCAATTTGAAAAAAAAAATAAATTGAAAGAAGGTGATTCATCCACGATGTTCAATATTTTTTTACAATAATACTCAAACGAACTGGCATTATATCAAAGAAGGAAAAATCGCCTTTGAAAGATAATGTCTGTTGGCAGCAGCCAACATCTCAACCGCATGGGTTGGAAGGATGAGCGCCAGCAGCATCAACTTCTTAAAGCTTGACTCTGAACTGTGCCGCAGCAAAATGGCGGATCCAGCCATGTCACGTACGGAGGACGATGTGCAGCCAAAGGCTACCTGCGATCGCTGTTTGCCCTCTCAACCTGCACCCGACTTGCATTGATTAATTTTTTTGAAGAAAATTCTATAACTCTTTCCGGAAGCAAGCGGGTTGCAATGTCGAGAGAAACAAATAGTCACTAGTAAGAATTAGCCTGCGCCGAGCGTGCCGAGCGAATTGCGAAGATGGCGGGCGAAAGCGTCACAACAGCAGACTCCTCAGGAAACACCATCGGGATCGTCTTCGGGTTCGGGAAATTAAAAAAACACTTTATCTTCTGTTCCTCTTCGATGTATTCACTTTGATGGTACGATTACAAATGACAATGAGTCCGAGGTGATTTTTTTTTTTTCACTTTAGATGATGTTTATTTCTGGTGTTTGTGTGGTTTTACATGTATGAATTAACAAGTGACACAGATGCGTCTTTTCAACTTTAGTTCATTTGAAATTTTTAATTATTATTTAAAGTTTCTAGTCCTATCAGGCCTGTTTTTAAGAATGACCACCTTGGTGGGATTGGTTTGTTTTAAATTGGAAAAGGGAAACTACTTATAACTACTATTTACAACTATATGCACCTAACCTACTATATACAAATTGCTTATCAAAGCATGTTCTGATACATTACATTTTTGTGCAAATTTAGTCTTAATTTCGTTTATTCTGGAATCTATTTTGGCAATGCCTGCCTCTTCGTGTAAATTTGTTATTCTAGTGTCGAAAGGACGATCGAGTATCATCCTAAGCACTCTGTTTTGTGCCACCTGGACTTTGGCACTGTGAGTTTGAGCACTTGATTCCCACACCGGTGCAGCGTAGAAAATTGCAGGTGCTATGATTTGATTGTAGACAGCCAGTTTGTTAACCCTAGAGAGGCGGGATCTACGAGAAATCAGCGGATACAAACACCTAACTAAGCTTGAACACTTAACTAACGTCTTTTCTATATGCGAGCGGAACAGGAGCTTCTCATCGAATACCATTCCAAGGTACGTAACTTCAGCAGACCACTCAACCCTTGTGCCATCCATGACTACTGTGCAAGAAGGTGCCGGTATCAGTTTGGGTGATTGCCTATGCAGGAACATGATCGTTTGTGTTTTGGAGGCATTGATTTTGATTATCCAACTTTTTGCATAGTCAGCAAAGGTGTCAAGGCATCGTTGTAGTTTGTTTGTAATTTTACGAGGCATTCTGCCCTTGACTGATATCGCGGTATCTGCGAACAGGAAGAACACGCAACCGTCTCCGAGGGGAGGAATGTCAGAAGTATACAAGCTGTAGAGCAAGGGGCCCAACAAACTGCCTTGCGGAATGCCTGCCGGAATGGAAAATTTGTCGGAGAGACAACCATACAACGATACCTTGAACGACCTTTGCTGAAGGTAGTTACGGGTAATTTTGACGAAATGCAACGGTAAATTGTAGTTACAAAGCTTGTATATTAGTCCGTCATGCCAGACATTGTCAAACGCCTTTTCGACGTCTAGCAAGGCCATGGCTGTGGACTTGGATACAGCCTTGTTACTTCGAATGTTGTTCATCACCCGTACTAGTTGATGAGGGGTGGAGTGCCCCTTCCTGAACCCAAACTGTTCCGGTAGGAGAATATTGTTTTCCTCCACAAACTTGAGCAATCTATTGAGAATGAGTTTCTCGAACAATTTGCTCAGCGCTGAGAGGAGGCTGATCGGTCTGTAGCTTGACGGCAATGCTGGTTATGAGCCGATTGTCATCATTTTCGACTCTGAGAGGTGGAACGGGTTTGGGATGAGTTTTCAGCACCTTGGCTACCTTCCAGAATGGACGGGAGCGGTCATCCAGATTCTGGACAACACGCCCGAAACTTTCATTTCGGAGTGAGTCCATTCTGGAAGCAATCTGCCTGTTCAGATCGGCCATTTCACGTTTCCTCGCTAGATCTCCAGTCCTCTGAAACTGGCGTCTACGCACATTTCTCAAGCGAATCAGTAATTGGGTGTGGGAACCAATGGCAACAAACTTACCCCTCACAGGAACTTGTCGAACACACGTCTCGTCAGCCACGGATATGGCCTGGTGGAGTCCTTCCAGTGCCCGGTCGATGTCCTCTACGGTGTCAAGCGGCGGATTTTCATCGATGTTTCTGTCGACCACATGCCCAAACTGCACCCAGTTGACATGATGGTAGTCTTTGCGCATGCTTTGAGCAGGTGCCACGTGGGTGCCGACTTTAGCCACCACCGGTAGATGGTCGGAACTGAGATCGTTGATCGCCATCGGTTTGGATAGTCCAATGTTCGAAAGAAAAAAGTCCAACGTGGAAGGGTTTCCCGCGGGAGAGATGAATGTCGGTTCATCAGGGAATTTCACTATATACAGCCCATGCTGCGAGTGGTCGAAGAGCAGACGTCCGTTCTGATTCCGCTGATAGTTCCGCCATGCTTCGTGGCGGGTATTTAAATCGCCCCCAATGACGAATCGTGAGCTCGTGCGAGTGATGGTGGTCAGATCATGCTTGAATTGGATGCCTAATCCATTACTGGCAGCACACTGACGAGGGCAGTATACGGCGACGAACCGGACGTTTCCGGTTGGTGATTCCACCTCCACACTAAGGGCCTCGATGATAGAAGTGCGAATATGCGGCAGCGTGCAGAACTTGATTCCTTTCTTGATGATGATCGCAACACCACCCCCCCCCCTGGAGTCGATACGATCAAGCCGGATAATGTGGTGATCAGGCAACCAAA